CCATGCAGACTGAAAGAACGACTTTGACTAAAAAGTGTCTACAACTGAGGTACTATCTCTATTTCTGCTATTTCCCGTACATATCCAGCTTCTTTATACAGTTCCTTATGAACAAATGTCTATCTCCTCTTTCTATAACCTATAAACAGTCCTCAATGGCTCCCAAACTCAAAAAACAAAAGAAATTCCATCAACAAAAAGCCAAGATTATCAGGTTGACATGCGACATTTTAGCATACATGCTATAAAAAAATCAAATTAATGAATAAACTTTTAATTTCATGTCTGCATCTAATGATAATGATAAATCCTCATTTGTATTCACTTTGGCGGTCTGTGAATTCCAATAGTATGAGCAGTTCACACTTTATATAAAAAATTTAAATAAATAAGTCAGTAGTAGCTTTGCATTCATCATCGATTCCTACTAATTAAGTATTAATGGGGCAAGTAAATAATATCGCAGAGTGTAGCTACTCATACACAAACAGATGATGCATTCATACGTGTAACTGCACGTGCCACATATCATCATCATGTGTTTGCCATATAAGCTTGCCTAATTAACTTACTGGATTATATGACGTCGTTGTTGGATATGACTCAAAAATTTCAAAATTGGATTTACTGTTGGAAGTGATTTACAAAGCGAAATGAAATTTGTCATGCGAATAAAAAAGCTTTAAATGCCTGCAATTTGTCATTAATTGCTAATTCAAAGTAAATCTCGTGCCGACACTTTGGGGAGGACGGGCGAGGGCAGGAGCTTACTACCAGATAGCTTGTTAAGTCAGTAAGCAATTAAAGTGCAATTTTACTGTGTTTTGACTATTTATAGTCATCAAGTAAAGTAATGAATTTACAATTCGTGTGTAGTTCTCATGTGTTTCTATTAACTATTCATGAACATACATGATTGTGTATAGCATGAACGCAGTCGATGAGTGTATGAATGAATATACGACTTTATATTATTTTTTTCATATTGCTGTTTGCTGTCATTCTGGTTGAACTTTGAGCACATGAATGAATAGCAAGTAGTAGCTGCAAAACATGCCTATAACTATTTGACATTACATGTTGTGTAAAAAAATAAAGTTACAATAAAAATGCATTTGGCGCTACTGCCAATACCTTATTATCTATCTCTCAATCTCACTCATCCATTTTTTTTAATCCATAAATTATTTATAGATTTTGTTACATAGTTTTTTCATTTCCAACAACGTCGTAATTACACTCTTTTTAAAGATTGATTTTTTGTAGGCTTGCATGCACTTTTTTCATGTGCTTTTGGTTGGAGGAAGTCTGAATATTCGTCCAATTTTTGTACAGCTTGGTAGACTTTTAGATTGATGCATGCAACAAACTTTAGATTTTATTATACTGGTTTTCACATTTTTAACGGTTTTGTAAAATTTGAATCTTTTACGGTTTTGTAAAATTTGAACTATCAAAGTTTTTGTAGATTTTGTGTTTTTTAACGGTTTTGTAAAATTTGAATTCTCGACGATATTCAAATTTTAACGACTTTTTCATCAAAATTCCACAATTCGTGCAACAGTCAGCAAAACTATCAATCATTTTAAAGCTTCCAAAGTTCACAGAAGTAACTCCGTTATCTACGTCGTAAATTCTTACGAATTCCCACCCAAAAATAAATGCCTCAAGCAACAGAATCATAATATTCAGCACACAATCTCACTTTTGTCATTTGTTGTGCTTTTTTCATTCAAGCTTACAGTCATCCAACTGATTGACATAACAGGGCGCCATAAATACAAATTTTTACAAACTATTTAAAATACAATTTTTTTCGAATGCATGCTTCAAGTTTTTTAAGCTTAAAAGCAATTAATGGCGCGCAAAAAAGCCATTGATAAAGTTTTATATATTTAATTACAAGTGGTTAGTTGCTATGTATTGATTAATTTACATCCCAACACCTCGCTACAAAATATTTGTTCTCTCTTTCGCCTTCAAATGTCAATCAATTTGCTGTTCAATTTGATTGACTGACTTTCTCACTTTCGAATAATTATAATAAATTAGTAAAACTAGTAACAGCTGTTGATCGAAGGTGTATGTAGATTAAAGGAATTGAGATTGATTGCTGGCAATTATAAAGGCTGCATAGCTTGTAATATCTTCCAAAGTGTATTTCTAAGACGTTCCATAATAAATATAATGCATGCTAGTGCGGCTAGCCCTAATACCAATTTAGCATGAAATATAAAAAATGCTTTCTTTACCGCCCGCAATAATTTTCATTTCCATTCTCTCTCTCTCTCTCGTTCTCTTTCTGGGAAATGTAAGTGAATTTGTAATAATAACAGACGCTCATGTCTCGTCGCAATTTACTTGTCGGATGCTATTTATAGAGTAAAATTAAGCCGCAATTGTGCTATATTGTTAATTTATTTTTTTATGCTCCATACTATTTTACATTATTTTATGAAATGGGACTGGCAATAGCCAAAAGGCACAGACATGACCCAACTCAATAATATTTTTGAGGTATATGAGGCTCAATACAGGGAAATAAAAATGGGAAGTTTGTTAATTAAAATCAATTAATTGAGGTGGCTTATTGGTGGTCGATAGGATTTGGTATGACTATAATAATTATGTGGATTGTCATGAATTTGATTCCAGTGCATCCTAGCAATGTATACATTAACTTTAAGGATTACGAATATTAAAGCATATCGACATTGATGTACATCTGATCTGACTTGATTCAACTATTCCGACTTCTCTTCATCGTGTGCTACTAAAGACATATAAGAATCGAACCCAAGTCCTGACAATCGAAGCTTTAAAATTTCCGTTCTTTTGCTGAGCTTCTCAGTCACATCGAGGTTCATTTCTCGTCCTAGCAGATTTGCCTACATTTGGCTCAATACTCAATATTACAGGCAAATCCAAAAATTCTACTCAACCTCGTCCCAATAGTCAAAAAAGCCACAGAAAAAATCCTCAAAAAAGCTATTCAATCCAGAATAAAAGCTATCACAAAATTTTAATAGAAACTAAGCTTCATTTGTGACTAATTAATTCAAGCGAGCAATTCACAACAGTCTATTAAAACTACACACCATAGTCGAGGTGAATTCAATACTTTTAGTAGTTGCGATAACGATAAAATTGCTAAAAATTCGTGAAGCCGCAGAAGAAAAAAAAAAGTGTAAATAATTAAATTATTTACGGATTTTATGTGTGGAGTGTATAGTTTGGAAGTACTTCACGAAAGGGGTTTTTAATTATTTATTTCAGTTGTAACTTCAAATTACTCGTTTCTTTTATTACACCAGCTCACATGGCTATGAAGGAAAGCGGTATGAATGAATGATGAGCTTTCGGCTGTTTTTGAAATATTTACGATCCTTTTATTGCCTCTTTCGTGCACTTTTAATGAGCGGAAGAGAAGTTTTTTATTTTGCCACTATTTACTTGAGGCTAATTAGTCGTTGGACTAAATCTTCTCTTATTTTACATCTTAAAATCCATATCAATGGAATGACAAGGTTTATATTTTATGAAGATTATGTGCTCTATTTGGATTTTATTGGGTATGAACACATGTTAAGTTAAAATATGATCGAAAATGACGAGTAATTAAAGATTTTAAAATATTTCAGTAACAACAGTTAAATTGAATGATGTTTGGATATGTGTCTACTTTGTGACATAAAATTTGTATTGTTATCACATAATGCGCATAATATGGACATATAGTGCGCATTGACTTTTGTATATTGAGTTGATTCGGGTATATAATGCGCCAAAATATTTGTATATTATTCATTAATACATATTCTCGTTTATAATGCGCATTTGCTTAATAAAATGTCTATAATAGAGAATATGGATTTAGTGTATACACAAGATCCTTCAAATAAAAAATCATATTTGCAGTTAAAACTTTTAATTAATTAAACTCATTCAGTAAGAATGCAAACTGCATATACTACAAGCCTTGGTAGCAAAATGGCAGCAAACACGCTTACAGAAAAGCAATTAATGATTCATAAACATTCAATATTCCTCTCTTCTTAATTGCCTTTTCTTCAAGTTCTAGTGCTTAAATTATAATTAAGAACGTTGTTGGAACAAGTTGAATAATCTTTAACTTACAACTCCCTTGATATTTACTTATGTATGTGCTATACTGGGTGTATTTGTGGAAAGGGAATGTTGAGTTGATGTTATGATTGGGAAAGAAGATGTTTTGGACGCATATATCAAGTTGGGAAACTCTTAGTTAAAAGACAAACACTTAGAACTTAATCTTAAGATTGGATTATGTATGATCTAATCATTGTGCTGTCTAAGGTTAGTTGACAGGCTAGTAAAATGTTTATTAGACATACTCAATGTATAACCAGAACCTATGCAAGACTGGAATTAATGTAGCTCAGAAATCCCAACCAATTTCAATGATTATCAAGATGCATTCGTACTCAAACATCAATCCACAAAGTTAAAGCACACACCAGCCACACAAACCACACCGGATCCACTAATTTCACACAACGTTCCGGGACATAATCGTATCAATTGGACTGTCATAATAAATCATCACGTTTCCACGAAAAAAAAAATATGCTACCTGACGTGCGCTATATGTGTGTGCAACGATGATAATCACCGATAGTTATGCCTATTTGCAATTGCAATGAAAACTTATTACTATCATCATGTGCACAAACTGGAATGAAGGCTCATAAAATTGCATTTTTTTGCTTAAAAAATCACTTGGATGGAATTTTAATTCTTCAGAAGACTTTATGTCTGCTGATGTACGCTCATTAGGTTCCAGTCGATTTTTTTATTGCTGTAAAGTGAAATAATTAAATGCTGTTCTTCTTTTCGAGGAGGAACTGGAAATAAATTAAATTTTTGTAGCACCTTGCGATACACTCAACAAACTTTTATGACTCTATTCAGGTTTGAATCTTAAGCTAATCAAATTCTCTCTTTTTTTGTCTCATCTTTAGGCTGCAATTTTACAACAAACAGCGGAATACATTGATCGATTGGAACTTGAGAAGCAACAACTGTTTGCAACAAACCAACATCTGCAGAGATTGGTGGATTCAATGGGTGGCACTAACAACAATAATAATAATAATAATAATAATAATGAGTGTCCACAGCAACAAATTATACAGCAAATTACCTCATCACCATCAACTGGCACCGCTATAAAGAAACGAAAATTGGATCAAGTCATGACCGTTCAGACAATATCCGATTCATCTGATGAGGGTCTTGGTTCGATGTCACCTGAACCTGTTACACAAATGATTTTCCAAAATGGCACGAATGCGAGCAGTACAATAACAAAGACACATTTGGTCAGTGCAAGTGTCACAACGATCAATGTCAAGGACTATGTTAATTTACAGAATCAAATGGAAACTGAGCGACGTCATCGTTTACAATTGGAAGAGCAATTGAAGCAATTGGAAATGCAAGTTTATTCGAGTCAACATCAACAACAACAGCAGCAGCAGCAACAAGTTCAACAGCAACAACAGCATACGCCACAACCACAACAAAATTATCAACATCAAGAAGATATGGATGAGGTTGATGGACAACATATGGACATGAATGGTACAATTGAGGAGAAAATCATTTTACGTCAACCGGATGGACAAGATATTCAATACATTGGAACCGTACCACATTCATCGCAATATGTTGTTGTCAGTACGAGTACACCAGGCTCATCGCCTAAGCATATAACGATTGTTAATGAAGATGATGACAATTCTCGTACCTTATCGTCAGATGAATTACATAAGGAGGATGATGTTAAATTGGTATTACGTAAATTGAGTCCTAAGCTCCAGCAAATCAGAATGCCAAGTATTTTGGAGCAAGCAATAAAGGCTGAACCAAAAGTTGAAGTTGAGCGAATCAATTCGCCATGCATAATGCCAATGATTGAGGAGAATGTAGGAATTCATTCGCCACCTATACATACACAACGCATCACATCCCCGCCAACATCAGCTGTTACAATTCGTACAACTTATCCAAATAATAGTCACCAGCGTCCAAATTTGGAGACAATTGTTGAGGCGATTCGTCATTTAGAAGGTGATGCATTTGATATGGATGAGGAGACTGCAACGACGACAGCAACGATAAAGCCACATCAACATCAGCAACAACAGCATGTTATCACCCAAGAAGTTCCATTGGCACTAACGACGAGCAATAAGTATCAACAGCAGCCGACGAATGGACAGGTTAAAGAGCCATTCAAATTCCGTCAAAGTGCAACCTCACAATCGGGTTTACCAACATTCGTAAGTGTGCCATCTCATCAACAGCAGCAGCAACTGAAAGTTCAACAATATCAACAGCGACCTGGTGTGATTGTCGTGAAGCAAAACTCTTGATTATTAAGCGGCACCGAACGAATTGCATCATCGATGAAAACGAAAATGTTGATGAAAATGCACCGACAACAGCTGGCCGAAAAGGTTACAGCAAGAAAGTTAATCAAGTAAGTTTTTAAATTCTCTTTCTTCTTCACACCTCAAGAATAAAAAAAAATGATGAAAAAAATTTATAAAAAAAAATATGAGTTTAAAAATAAGGAAACACATGCTACCTACCTAAAAACTGGGTGACCTAAAAATTATATTAATAATTATAATTAAAAAATTTAAATTTAATTAATGAGTAATAATAATTATGGTAAAATTAATATTAATTGATTATACATGCATATATTGAGTATATTACATAAGTATATTTAAAAACAAACAGAAATGATAAAAAAAAATTATTATATTTGATGAGAATAATGTCATTTTTGCTAGAAGAAAAACATAAGAATTCATTATGAAATGATTAAGAAATCTACTTAAGTTAGGGTTCGATGCAAATTGTGTGCGCATTAAGTGAATAATTGCGCGTTATGTGAATAAACTAATGTGTATACACATGTGTTTGTTCATAGTGCGCATGTGTTTTACATATAATGCGCATTTGTTTACATATAATACGCATGTGTTTACATATAATACGCATATGTTTACACATAATGCGCATATGCTTCTAAAGTGTGCATATGAGAGTTATTGCAAAATGCGCATACGTCTGAACCCTAATTGTTCGAAAAATAGAAGTGAAAATTCAAGTTGTATCCCGAGTTGTAAAACAAAAGCTTCAAGCTTTCAAATCGCTGTAATAACCAAACTACTCGGTCATCAACTTGAAATTATCTAAACTCTATTTTTCAAATATTTTCTTTCTTATTTTAAATAAGAAATTCTAAAGCAAAAGAAACTCCCACATCTACTCTATATACACAACAGCAACAACAACAGAAGAAAAAAAAACTATATGACGATAATAAATAAAAAAATAAACTCATTGCATTGCATTATCTAAATTTTTAAATAAAAAAAAATAAATTAAGAAGAAGCCAAGCTTTTGTAAATCATAAGGATTTAAAAAATTAGCTAAATTTTTGGATCATTGAAATTTGGAACAAAATTTCGATTTAAAATAAATTGCATCTCAAATTTCATTTCATCAGCATTGTAATGTTGCTTATTATTTTCATTTGTTGTTTTTGGTGGACAAAAGTGAAGTCATTCAAGGAATTGTTCTTAAGTATTCCTAAGGAGTTGAAATGAACAGTCTTTGATTAGCAGTAATAGGATTTTACATTGAGGAATGTAATTGAAAAAGTTCAATATTTTTAAAATAATCTGAAATTCAAGTCATCGATGCAAAGAATTTGGGAAGGTTCCCTTCCTTATGTTGTAGTTTATGAATGGCTTTTTAAAAAATGAAAAATTTTCTATCAAAGTGAAGAACTAAGATTATCATCCTAGTTGTCACCCGTGACTATACTTCTGAATCTTAGAATATAAGATCATATCTGTTCAATTCGAAGTTCTAAATCAATCAAACTCCAGCAAATCAGCAAAACCTCATCAAACACAGATTCAAATGGACAATCCTAGATCATCCATTTAAACTCCTTTAAAATCTATCGCACATTCAAATTACCTCAATTTAAAAGAGCTTGAATTAGAAGTGTTCATTTTATATCTTAAAAATCTACTCAAGCTCAAGTTTACCAACTCTAGACTCATATCAACCAAATCAATGTGCGAAAAATCACCTCAATGTAAAATCCTCAAGCTTTCAAGTCCACCAAAACGAAATTTCTATAAAAAAAAATCTAATATTTTTCGCATTAATGCGCTTTTTGCAAAAAAAAATAAAAAAAAATGAAAATATTGTATTTAGTTTAGAAAAAGTGGAAAATTTAGGAACAAGGATAGTAGAAAGTAGTTGCAAGAGGAAAGTTTTAGTGTTTAAGGAACTGCAGATTAGAATAAAAATTATCTGGAATCTCACTTATTTGGACGCTTCGAGTTGAATCAAAAGACTCGCAAAATTTTCATTTATCATTAATTTTAGTTCTTAATTTTATTGGTTTTTTTTTCAAATCTTAATCAGTGAATAATAACTTTTGACAGAAATGGAACGAGAATGTTAATAGAATTAAAACAAATTTTAAGCTTCAAATCTTCAAAAACTCTTTTTATGTTTAAATTAAAATTTTTTTTTTGAATCAGTTTTTAAAAAAATAGTAGCAATTAAGGAGATGGAGACTTTTCTACACACAGTGTCAGATTAAATTGTAAGAAAGTTTAATTAAGTTAAGCTTCTAATTTCATTTTTTCAAACTTAATTCGGAATATCAAATTTTTTGCTGCTTAAGATGTTTTTAAAATAAATATTATTTGTTGATCAAAATTTGACCTTTGGAGGAGATAAGTGGGCTGATGTGGGATATGTAATACTTTTTTGAAAAGGAATGAAGGTAGCATTGACTCCTACAAGTTGCTTTTTATATGAAGAATGTCTTATGGGATGTCTAGGGGGTTATTTATAAGTGATGTCTATTAGTAATGTTAACATTGGTTTTTGGAGAGGCTCAGAGCTCGGTCATTTCAAGCATATAGCTCGCTGATCTCTAAGATTAAAATTACATCATTGAAAATAAAGCAAGTCTGCCTCAAAATAGAGACTAGCTTAGTCCAGAAACACTTTATTCACTCTTATTTAAATAAGACTAGACATCACAACAGAATAACTCCCACTGCCCTTAGGATAAACTCAAAAAATATAGAGCTAAGAACAAATATACAGCCCATCCAAAACAGTCATTTATCCCACCCACATGTCAAAAATAAAACCTCGGTGTTTCCTTTTTCTATTCTATTCTATTATTGACTTTTTATTGTAATATTTTTGTTAACTTATATGAATTATATTAGCTATTCTTTTGCAATTTGAACTAGCGTGTCAGGATGAGAAGTTTAAGTTTTATATTAATTATGTTTTTTAATTTTTATTTTTATTGTAAATTATATTTTGTGCATTTTTATCTCCCTCATCGCCAAATTGCAAAATTATGAAGTGAAAACATGAATGGACAAAAAATGAAATAATGTCAGCGGATAAATTTGCATAATTAATTATTAATTAATTTTTTTATTATTATTATTTTGTTTGTTAATTCGTCAATTACAATTACACGTGCGTTTAATTATTTAATTTCTGTGAAATTGTAAAAGAAAAAGGAATAATAAATTTTTTTATATTAATTTTTAAGTTTTCTTCGTCTTTTCACTGGATTTTTTGTGTGTTCCTCTGGATTTTTGGATATGTTCGTTGAGTTGAGTGATGGATATGATTACTATGGAGGAGGAATGACGATATTAGCCTTGAAATAGGAGTCTATTCACTAAAGGAATGGATTGAGGCAAATTTTAGCTATTGAAATACCAAAGTTTGATGTAGTTGGTTACCCTTTGAATGAAAAACGAGTAGTTGAATACCCCTTGCAAAGTTTAATACCCCTGGATTCAAAACCACTTGGTGGAATTCTTTTTCACTATGAGAAGTGAAATTTCTTGACTTTTTCTTCAAAAATCTTAGCTCAACACCCTTTTTTGCTTAAAAAAAGTGTAGTTGCGAGCCCCTTGGTCTAAAAAAGGTTAGTTTTACTCCTAATTAATCCTGAATCGCATTATATTTCTCAAGATTTTTCTTAAAATCTTTTAAACATCTCCTGTTCCAACCTTAAAAATCAATCAGATCCATAATTCCAAGAATACATTGCTACAGTAATTACCAATATTCTAAGAAATTCATCACTCGACCCAACAACACAAAAATTTACAATGTTCAGTTAATTAATTAATTAATTAATGCTCCTTAAGAGGAACACACACAAAAATATTAAACCTTCAAACTTTCTTTGCTGTTCGCCTTCCTATTTTACTTACTCGCGCAGTTTCATATCAAAAAGATGTTCATTGTTACTAAATATGTATGTCGTCGTTTCTTCAGTTTTATGATTATTATTACTTTAAAATACATTTCATTCATTCATTCATACATACATAATAATTTCAGTAAATAAGTAACACACATAATTAATTGACTAAGGACAAAAAAATGGAAAAAAAGATGAAAAAAAAATGTTAATAATTGGTAGAGTAAAAGTAGATTGTTAAGTTGAGAATATGCCCGGGAATTAAGTAATAATAATTGAATCTTTTTTTATACTTTTTTAATTCAATCTTCAACTATGAATTGCTTAACAATTGATTGAAGTTTTTTTGAGATAAAAAGGAAGTAATAATATGTGCATTGTATAGTAAATTGATAGGCACTGATAGACTATTTTTTTTATTTCTTCTTCTTAACGTGGTTTGAAATTGAACAGATTAGTTTATTTTTGAGTATATTTAAATTCTTAGCTGAGCATAGGACATCTGCATTTGATTTTAAGAGCTTTTTCAATCAGCTTGCTTAGCATAAAACATTCAAAAACTGTTCTGAAGACTTTCTTTTGAAATTTTTTAAACCTTTAAAAATTGAAATCTTCAAAAAAATTATTTGACTAAGATTTTTCAAAAAAATCCTGAAAATCAATTGTTCTTTTTTGAAAAATGACCGTTAATATCAGACGTCAAAAGTGAACAACCTAATTAAGAATGCAAAATAAAATTTGAATCATTTGAGCTAGGAAATTAATTTGCTTTGAGCAAGAAATCACTCGAACAATTAGAAAATGTCAAGGGTGTGAAACTGATAAATTTAGATTTGTTTATTTTTGAACAGTTTTTGATAATTTTCATTCAATTTTGCTTTTAATCAAACTTGATTATGTTGGTCATTTTTGATCAGTTCTAAGTCTTAAGATTAAGTTCAAAGAGATTTTTTCCACTTGGGTTGTCATTCAAAGGTTCTAGAATTTTTCAAAATGGCGATTAACGTGCCAAAAATAAAGAAATTTTGCGAAACAGTTTTTAAAACTTTAATTTCTAAAGGCAGTAAGCCCATTCTCAATCCAGATCAATTGAAAGAGTTTGGAATATTAGAAAATAAGGAACTTAAAGCATACAAGAGTGTGTGTGTTCACTTTGTAAAGAAAATGTACTTTTTTCCCATCACTAAGCATTATTTATATTTCATTATAGATTCAAAAATTGTTCCTTAACACGAATTTCATTCTACCAAACTTTCTTCCTTATTATTTTTACCATAAATTTTTATTCAAAATAGAAAAAAAAGTTTCAAAGCTGAAAAAAAGTAG